GGTCACCCTGGGCTGATGCTCGCCTGGGTGATGATGGTCACTGTGGAGCTGCCCCACCAGGGCGATTCCAGGGTGGGTTTGGATCTGCCCCCATGGAGCCGCTGGCCCAGGGGGTGTCCCCACAGCGCAGGGGTGACCCTCTGCTGTCCCCTGTGCCCGGGCAGGACACGGCCGGGCAGGAGCGGTACCGCACCATCACCACCGCCTACTACCGCGGCGCCATGGGCTTCATCCTCATGTACGACATCACCAACGAGGAGTCCTTCAACGCCGTGCAGGACTGGTGAGCACGGGGGGCTCTGGGCACCCCCGGCCGCCCCCTCCCCACACCCCTGACCCACCTCGCCCTCCCTCCCCCAAGGTCCACCCAGATCAAGACCTACTCCTGGGACAACGCCCAGGTCCTGCTGGTGGGGAACAAGTGTGACATGGAGGATGAACGCGTGGTCTCCTCGGAGAAGGGCCGCCAGCTCGCCGAGCACCTGGGTGAGCTGGGGAGGGGGAACCTCCCACCGTGGCTGCCAGGCTTGCAATTAATTTAATTAAGGGCTTAATTCCCTTCGTGTAACCGCTGCGCTCCGACATCGGCGGTGAGAAACCACGGGGTCGCTGCACGCCTTGGACGCTCCGCCAGATGCTGGGGGGAGGATTTGGGGGGGTTCTTTGGGTGGGAAAAACGGGATTTTGTGGCTGGCGGGTCGCAAACCTTTTGAATATTGAAGGAGGAGGAGCAGCAGCCGCGCGGAGCCGGAGCTTTGATGCGTGTCCCTTGTCCCTCTGTCCCTCCCGCCCACCCCAAATCCAGGCTTTGAGTTTTTCGAGGCCAGCGCCAAGGACAACATCAACGTGAAGCAGACCTTCGAGCGGCTGGTGGACATCATCTGCGAGAAGATGTCGGAGTCGCTGGACACGGCCGACCCCGCCGTCACCGGCGCCAAGCAGGGCCCCCAGCTCACGGACCAGCAGGCCCCCCCCCACCAGGACTGTGCCTGCTAGGGGCCAGCCCCCCAAAAACCCCCCCAAAAAACCGGTCAGTGCACCCCAAACCCCACCCCGGCCCCGCCCCGAGCTCCTCCTCTTGGGGGTCCCGCGGGGGCTTTTGCTGCTGATACCTCCGAAAGGGCTGCGGCCCCTCTAGGAGCCCCCCACCCCAATTCATTAGGCTATGCCCCCCCCCACCCCTTAATTTATTTTTAAGCCTGGGCTGGTAGAAAACTCCCCCCCTGCCCCACCTCATTCTGCTTTGAATCACTGTCGAGAAACCATCACCCCCAGCCCCATCTCCCCTGGAGACCCCCCACCCTGTCCTGGCACCCTCTGCCCTGGGACCCCCCTGTCCTGGGACCCCTGTCCGGGGACCCCCACCCCTTTTCCTGCTCTGGAACCCCCTGTCCTGGGGATCCCCCTGCCCTGGGCCCCTGTCCTGAGACCCCTGCCCTGGAGACCCCCCCCACCCCTTTTTCTGCTCTGGAATCCCCTGTCTTGGGACCCCCACCCCTTTTTCCTGGGCTGGGGTTTCCCCTGCCCTGGTCCCCCCCCTGCTCTGGAACCCACTGTCCTGGGGACCCCCCTACCCTTTTTCCAGCCCTGGGACCCCCTGTCCTGTTATTCCTGTCCTAGGACCCCCCCACCCCTTTTCCTGCTCTGGGACCCCTGTCCTGGGACCCCCCACCCCTATTTCCTGTCCTGGGACCCCCTGCTCTGGTCCCCCCCAACTCTGGAACCCTCTGTCCTGGGGATCCCCCTACCCTGGGACCCCTGTCCTGAGACCCCCCCCCCTTTTCCTGCTCTGGAACCCCCTGTCCTGGGGATCCCCCTACCCTGGGACCCCCTTCCCAG